AACACTGCTCTCACCAGCGAATCTATACCGATCACCTCAGTACCTTATCTAGAAGATCATGAGTTTCAAGGACTCACTTGTATATAGCTGGATCATACGATTTCAGATGGTGCAGATCGAGATCAGCATGGCGCTTGCCCAGAAGTTGCGACACAAAGAATTCAGCGAAACGGATCTCAGCCATTTGTTTCTCGTAAATCAGCTGCAGAAGATAGAATATCAAAACTGATGGAAATCTATTAGATTGCGGTTATTATTGCCAGCGGTTTCCTCACATACTTCATTATGTAAAGAGTAGCAGACCATATAATCACGTTGTTCGCGAAATGGGTAACGTGCTAACACGTTGACGACAGCATGACGCGCATGCGCGTCAGAATTTTACCCGATTCTGGCTAGTTTTTTATGGTTTATTTGGCCTTTTTCATATTTCAAAACTGTGTGCATGCGTCATCTTATCCGAAAAACTGTGCATCAATTACCAGTAGTGGAATTATTGAAGAAGTTATGACGATTGTGAAAAAAATAAACAAAAAGTTGCCGAGGTACACGCATAAGGGGCTGTCGTCAACGTGTTAAAGTATTGTTCATAGCCCACGCCCTCAGAGAACCGGGAAATCAGCATAAATATTTCCCTGAGAGGGAGAACCATCAAAAACATGAATACATATCGATTCGATTGGTCCCTTGCTTTATGCACTAAAGTAGAATCGCAAAATAGAGTTAGCAAGTAGACATTCCTCCGCTACTACCGACTGATACACTTCTAATCCTTTTTACGAATTTTCCTATGCTTCGCTTACGCCATTTCGGCGTATTCCACCTGCTTCTTATCTATTCGTGAATACCATAATCAGTATATTTTCTGACTCTTCTGTGTAAAGCCAATTCTGAACAATGCGTAAGCCCTACGCTGTTGTGAGCTATAAAGAATTTTCACCAAAACAATTATCATCGCGTCAATATGTTCAACAATCAAGCATGCAAAAACGAAAGTGTAAAAGGGCTACCTTAGCAACAACTCGTCCGAGAAAGAAGAAATGCTGCGAATAAGAATCAGGATATAGTTGCACGGAGGATGGGTTCGGATACAAGAGCCTTCATGAACATATTTGTAAGCAAGTATGAATTTATAGAAAATCATAAAAACGCGGAAAAGTCTAATGAAACCTGTCATGGGTGTATTTGAAGAAGCCTCTGTCAGGATCAAATCCAGTTCGAATCAGTTCGGTTAGAAATTCTCTGAAAAACTTCTTTTACTCGAATAAAGGAATTCACCTACACACAATTCAATGAATTAATCTCAACAGTTGTTTAGGGGTGAACAGCTACCCAGACTTATCGCATAGCTAGTCATTCAAGACAGGAAGGTCTGCTGTACGTCCTATTCACAATCACAAGCGCAGCTCGTCCAAAATTCAAAAGCGCACAAAAATTAATGTCCAATTTCTTGTTTCCGAGGTTTCGAATCAGGAAGTGCAGACTGTAATGCCCCAAACGCCGTGAATTCTAGTCCAGTGGTACTTGACGATGCGACGGAAACGCCATGTATGGGAAAGCGAGAAAAACCTTCGATATGGTCTCATAGGTTTCATTTCGGAGCCTCATAGAACAGCTACAATGCAACTTCAAAGAAAAAAGAGCACGTGTGTTCCATGTTCCGTTAAGCGCCTTCTACAAACTGCAGCCGTTTACCACCTCGTGCGCATACTGTGCCCATATTTGCTCTAAAATACGCTCCCTTAACAAAATAGTGAAACATCACGCTAGCGACGCATTAGTCCACGCATGATGAAAAGCGAATCAACCTAGTGGCATGATTTCCGAAACTCCCACCGTTTCTTCTACAAATTTACGTTTAATTAATGCTTTCCTCGAAGTAACGTCGTGAGCCAACACTATCAGTATCTTGTTTTTGATTGTTAACTGCTGTTTTTGGCCGCAGTTCGCCTTGCGAATGTTTCACAAGAATGCTGGGTTGTGAACAAAACTTTCGTCCCGCCTGGGGCGAAAGTTTTGTTCACAACCCAGCATACTTGTGAAACTATCAGTACCCTTCATCGGAAGAGATTGTCACTCATTCGGATACTCTGACATGATTATCAAACATTAAAAATCGTACGCAATTGAATAGCAGTCCCAATCATTTTGAAACTTGTTAACCTTCCTCACCTGAAAATTCCGCCACCATCAATACCGACCTCATTCAAACCAATCCAATTTGTCATTGATACCCTGATTGGGAGTCGAAGATTCGGCGCTGTAAATTACATGTATGTGAAACGAATCGTAATACGGACTTCCTTGGAGCAAGCGGCACGCAAAATTTGGTTTTGAAAAGTGGTAATGCGGCTATTATAAATGACCCCGTGCGCCTTAAAGGAATCTTGCGCGGAAAATTCTTGCATTCTTTCCTAACATGAATGTCAGTTGTGATCACTGGAAATAGCACACAAAGTTTCACGCATGAAGATTCGGTTTCCGAAGAGAAACAAACGTACAAAAACTATGGACAATCGAAGGTAATTCGGGCGGAGCCAAAGGCGAGGCATGGAAAGAAGTTGGCCTTTGGCCGGCTACGTATCAGGCGACGCAATGAAAGAATCGGGTTAAAGCGCGCGATTTCGGAGAGTAGAGACAAATCGATCGATAGAATAGGATGGAGTAGAAGTGTAAGATGTGAATGAAAAGAACAAAAAAGGAATGCATTCTTTTGCTAAACAATTCGAAAAACCGGGACGATAATACATCCACCTGGTTCACGAAGTGCCCTCATTAAAGGAAGCGCTCACGCTGGCTTCCACGTAGAGTTTGCTACCAGGGTGAATAACGGTCGAGGATTTCCTCGACCATAGCTCTCTACCATGCGAGAGTAGTGCCGAGAGTGAACATCCGCGCGGAGAGCACAGACGGCACGCCATGGCGAGTGTGAATGTCCGCGCGAGAGATCGTGTCTGATCGGGCAGAGAATCCTCGACGTGCCGTTGAGGAATCCTCAAGCGATATTCACCCTGGATTTGCTACCCTCGCGTTATCAATCGATAAGGTGTGAGGCAGTAATTGTTGGACGAGTGTAAGCCCATGGAAGATATGATACGATGAGATAAGAAGGTGCGGCTGCTTGATAAGAGGTGCACTCCAGAATGAAAACGGGACGATAACGATAACGGTATCATATCTAGCACGCTCTTATCGCACCCCTTTCCACATCGATAAGTCTTGGTTTTTGCTGAACGGAAGTGGATTTCGGCGCCTTATCACTCCGTTGATAAGGCGCCACTGCCACTGAAACTTCACGTGTTCTAACATTGGGCAGGACCCCTATCCACTCCAATACATAGCTTTCCTTATCGTCCCATGAAAATTATCGTGACCACTTCCTTTAAACACTTTTTGACCACTGTTTTATTGCACTAACATCTCAGTTCTAAATCATCATAATCTATCAATTGTTTTGTCTGTATCATCCAAAATCTGAAGTTTTAAGCCATCTCATGCGTCGCGTCTTAGGTGGTCGCTTTAAAGAAGCCCTTCTTTCCATGATCCGCCTTTGGCATCGCGCAGCCTACCTTCGATCATCCATAGAGTGTAGTTTTTGTAAGTTTGTTTCTCTTCGGAAACCGAATCTTCATGCGTGAAACTTTGTATGTTGTCTTCTAGTGATCACAACTGACATATTCATGTTGGGAAAGATTGCAAGAATTTCCCGCGACGGATTCCTTGAAGGTACCGAGGTGGAGGCGCCCGAAGCGACGTGATGGGCCTTCACCTATTTCTTCATAAGCTTCCATGTCCCATCGATTAGCTGCCCTAGTTGCTAAATCCCTTGCCGTCGAGCTAGCAACCTTTTTACCAGAAAGGCGAAGCAGGGGACTTACTCGCGTCACACCGATCTCGCGACCTTTAAGGTAGATAGTGATGAATTGCTCCCCCTAAGAATAAAAGCCCCTTCACTGTTACTGCCTCAAAATCTCAAAACTATTTTTTGTCGAAATTTTCAAAACAAACGTAATAGGGCATTCAGGTATCGATTACGAATACGATGATGTTCACTTTTGATGTCATTTGTACAAGTTTTTCACGACCTGTTTCCACTAAATTCGGTGTAAACTTCTATATAAGTGTTTTTCGGTATCCTTGCTTACAGAAGTGACATTCATTTTATCAATAGCGCTGTTTAGCGCATATCTTCGGCTGTTCTGAGCGCTCTCACTTATAGTGGTTGAAGCTGAACCTTTTGGAGGGGGACTTTGGGATGAGTAATTTATGCATGGCAAAAGTTGAAGGTTGTGAGACCATAGGGTGAAGGCCTACTCACCCTCTGAGCCCTCCTTTCAACGAAGGCTCAGTCCTGATCGCGATCTCATCACTGCGAGGGCGGCGACGAGCAGAAAATGGGCGCCAAATGGCGCTAGGGCCAAAAATGAATGTCATATTCGTGACTAGGGCACAAAGTAACCCCTAAATACAAGTTCCAATTTGGTGAACAGCGTCGGACAAAGTGGCGTCAGCTGGCGCAAATGGCGCCGGCGTCAAAAATGGATATCATATTCGCAGTTGTGAAGTACCTCTGTAGACAAAGTTTTAATAAGAAAAGTTGTGATGTAGGGTAGTAATAGTGGAACAGTACCACAATGAAAAAGCTTAAAGAGTAGTGAAGAAAAAGAGGAACATTATGAATTTACAATCTGATACAACCCACCATTTCCCAATGACATCGCCTCAAACGCATCTTCATAGAGATGCTGTCGTCGCACTGCTATGTTAATACCATTCCGACGGAATCCTGTTGCTGCTGTAAAGAAAGCTCGATCAGTGGAATGACCCTCGAACTTTCAGCACCGACTCCGGTAGGACAACAATCATTAGTGTGGGATTCAATTTACGTTTTTGAGATTGAAAGTAGGTTACATATTTTCTGGCGCTGTTCTTGATTCGGTTGACTCGTCCCCTTTTTAATAAAGCGAAATTACGGATGAAATGAGCACTTGTGATTGATAAATTGCTGAGTTTCCTTCAAGGAAGAACATCCTTTGATAAAACCATGTATTTAAGCACCCTTGAATGCTGGATCAATACTCACCAAAGCTATGAAAGTCGTCCGCGATATCGTTCGCCTCCCGGTCATGCGCAAGTAAATCTTGAAAAATCTGAAATATAATATATCCACTTTACCCAAAAAATGACAATCATTCGCATCACATACCTTCACTCTTTGCATGAACGGGACAACAAAAGGAATCGACTTGATGATGCTTAAGTTTCGCAAATCTGCACTAGTGGCTGGCAGTTCATTTGATGGTCCCGGCTCCTCTTCGCTTCCACTGCTATCACCACTTAACGATTCAGATATATTTAGATCTTCTGCAAGTCAAATGGATCGCACTGAAGGGTGTGAGTTGCATATAGACAATCGTAGGAGAGGGTAGGTGAGCACGGCGACTACTCATACAGCTTTTCATACAGCCTCCAAGCGTTCGAAAAGTTACAACATTCCGGAAATAGGCTCAATGCCAGCAAGCGCTCGAAGCCGCGTTCTACACTCTCAGCTGCCCACTACAGCGAGCAATAAAAGCACCACTCATGACCACAACTCAGGAGGATTGGCAACAGTGCTGTAGCTCACGCGCTCGGTGAACGAGAGGTGCGGCTTCAAGTCCCGCCTGGGCGAGAGTTTTATTCATAACCCTGTATTCTTGCGAGAAACACGGCAAAATCAATCTAACAAGTTTTTTTGCTCGTGGTAACATTTTAGTTCTTATCAACTTCTTCGAGGTTGAGATACTCTCAACTGATGTCCAAAATATTCGATAGATTTAGCTGATTCGTCGTGATCCACCTCAATATGTTACTCAACACTGACGGGGTTGTTCAATAGTCCAAACTATATGTCTTACCAAACAGCGACAAAAAACAAAAAAAGCCCGGTTCGAAAAAAAAGGCCCGTTCAGAACCAAGAGTATGTAGGAACGGCCAACCGCCAACCCAGTAACTTAAAACGCTCTTGGCAATTAACACGTTGACGACATCGCATGTTTTGGCATTTTGCACCTCGTGGGACAGGAGCGATTTTGCGACCGCGCCGTCCTCACCTTACTTACGCTTATTTTTTGTTAAAAATGCACAATAACTTGAATTTCATAGGACTATTTCGGCAAGGACGATCGCACAAAGGTTAAGTATATAAGTAGCAAAAGGTTTTCGTTTAGAAGAGCGCATAATAACCACGAAGAAGTAAAAAAAAAACATCACTTTCGCTGCGAATGAAATTAAAAGCATTTATATCTAAGTACTCTTGCTGCTGCGGCGTGTTGCAGCTGCCGCCCGCCATCAAATCAAATATATTGAAACTCACAGAGTTTTGTTTCAACTAACTCTAAAATCTTTCATAAGAATATTGACGGCAGTGAAAGTATTATTAAGAAAGAATCGGAACGAAAGTTTTGTGCGTTCGGAAAATCTTTGCTTAATCAAAAGATACTTGACCACTCTAGCTGCCAAGCGGTTTATAGTCATGCTAATGTATTATCTACTAGATATACAAAAACCCCAAGGTAAAGGAAGGGCGCGCAAGCACGATAACAGTGAGTAGCAATATACTTGAGTTGGGGCGCTTTGCCGTCAGAATCCCGATGCGGTTGCGAAACTTGGGGACGAGGCGGATGAGGGCCATGCGCGTCAGCCTTGCTCGTGGCGACGGTGTTAAATACTTCGATAGGTCGCCAGTGGTCGCCGATAAAGGATCTAGTCTCACTTGCCGCGACACACTTCAAAGCCCTCTCATACTTGCTAGAATTCTCGCAAATCATCTTCCACCACCCTGGTGCTGTAGCCTCGGCCGCCATTTGTAATATGCGACGCTCTCAAGCCTTTCCTGCCCACTCTTTATTGGATCAAAAGCGGATTTGCGATGAAAAGACAGCCCATTGATAAATAAGAGATGGTCTGTGATACTGATTGATGATTCAGTGATACACCTGAAACCCGAGAAATGGGATCCTTGCTTGCCCGAAGATTGCGGATCGATGAGTCCATCCATCGGGTGGGCATAACCAGACACGAGCCGGGTCGGGCTCACGCTATATGCGGGACCGGACGCATAGGAAGGCACGATCAGTACAGCAATGACGTAGGGATCGCCAGCAGAGTGAGCGGATGGGAATTTAGCTAGTTTACATTAAGCGTTGGGATCGCGCGAGATGTCATCTGCATACGGGTGAAGCGCTGCGACTCGTCCGCGGAGTGCTGCCTGCTGCTGTTGTTGTTGCCAGGTGCGCCGCCTCCTATCGTACCATTAGTCGGTGGCTTGCTCTCTTCAAAAAGGCTAACCTCCTCTCTCTCCTGCATTCGACCGCTCGAGAGACCAGTACACGAAACCACGGCGAAGGAAGAACGGCTAGTTATCAGTGTTGGGGTCCGGAGTGGGCGTGCCCGCGCGCAGGAACTGTGGTGCCACCAGGACAAAGCAGCCCATTCCCTCGATCGCCCCGAATAAAAACCGCGACCTGCGAAATGCGCTGCGCCCGTCCTCGGGCTGTACGTCCTGTCCTCTACCAGTTAAGGCGGGGGTGATACGACGTGGTGGGATGTGGGGGTGAAGATGTGGTAGCTTGTTTGTGTCGAACCCATTTCGTACGTTTCGAACTGCAGCGATCATTCTTGGCGTTGGGGCAAACTAAATCATCGAAAACTTTTCCCACCACCCCCTCTCACATCTTGAAAAATATTTATATTATTTTACATTAAATTCTGATCCGTGCAGCGAGGTTGGTTAAGGCGAGGAGTTGAAGTAAAGATGTACGGCTACCGGTCACTATAGAAGCCGCTTCGTCTCTGAGTCCGTCTGCCTTGGTGCTGTGTGCTTTGATCCTTTGGGCTTCCGAAATGTCGCCCTACTCCTGGGAGTCGTGTCTGGAGAGACCGGTCAAGAGTGGTAAGGGCGGGCAATCTTTCGGACTTGAGCCAAGTGTAAGTCAGCAAACACACCTCAGACGTAAACGGAAGCCCCTGTCCACCCCGTCGTCGAAACTAAACTGTACCGGATGACATCAGAGCGAGCGAGACCACAAACAACCAGTACCGCCCCGCGCCCCACCCCCAACCAGCGGCGCCTCGAAACTGGGCCAAAAAGTGGGTAAAGGTGTGCATTGGTAAGTCACATCGAATTAGGGAGACCCACCCCCGGTGGGCGGGGCGTTCTCCAAAAAAGCAGTGCTTTATGAAAAATTTCATAACTCGGTTGGGAGAAAGCCTACAGAGCAGAAAACAAATTGGTGTAGGGGAGCAATGTCTAAGGTGTTTCCAGCATACATGACGTGGCCGCCCACAATGGGCGGAGCGCGCTCTGAAGTGTACAGCATTTTCTACAAGTCCTCATAATTCGGGCCGGAGAAGTCTTAAGTGAGCCGGAAAAAGGTGGATAGAGGTGGGTGGAGGAGTGGAGGCCAACTGTCATCGGTGGGCGGGCTGACCAAAGTGGGCGGAGTTTGCGACGAAAATTCATAACTCGGCTCCAAGAAGTCCCGGAGGCCGGGAAAAAGGTGGATGAGGTGGGTGGAGGAGTGGAGGCCAGCTGTCATCGGTGGGCGGGGCATTGACCAAAGTGGGCGGAGTTTGCGACGAAAATTCATAACTCGGTTCCAAGAAGTCCTGGAGACCGGGAAAAAGTGAATTGAGTTGGTCAACGGAAGGGAGGTCAACTGCTATTGGTGGGTGGGGCGTGCACCAACGTGGGCGGAGTTTGCCCTAAACTTATAATTTAGTTCCGAGAAGTCCAGGAGACCGGGAAAAGAGTGGGTCGAGTCCGACAACGCACGGGAGGACAGCTGCTATTGGTGGGTAGAGCGTACACCAAAGTGGGCGGAGTTTGCGACGAAAATTCATAACTCGGTTCCAAGAAGTCCCGGAGACCGGGAAAAAGGTGGATAGAGGTGGGTGAAGGAGTGGAGCCCAACTGTTGTTGGTGGGCGGAGTTCTCCACAAAACTTTGTGACTCGGCTGCAAGAAGTCCTGAAGACCGGGAGAGAAGTGGGCGAAGGAAAGGAAGTGAATTTCTAATGGTGTGCGGAGGATACACCAAAAGAGCAGGATTCGCCGCCAAAATTATAAATCGGCTCAGGATAGTTCAAAGACTGGGAGATAGGTGGGACATGCAAAGAAATAGGCGGAGTTTACCACGAGGTTCATAAATCGGTCCGGAGGCAGTCCGAGGCCGGGAAAACGGACAATTGGTTGACGATTACGGACAATTGGTGGAGGAAGGAGGGAAGGTCAAAAGCCATCGGTGGATGAAGCATGGGGCAATCGGATAGAATTCAGCTTGAAAGTCAAATATTCGAAGTGTATTGGGCCAAATTCGAAAATTTACGCCGCACCATCCTATATCGCCGCAGAACTGTGCTGTGCGCGCAATGCGTGCGGCGCCAACTGGTAGTCGTATAAGTGAGCGTTTCAGGATAAGAGCTGACCAACGCCGATGGTATGCATGTTGTCTTACTTGTAGATTCGGAACTAATATTGTATAGAGAATTTTGTCGCATGAAAACAATACAATAGGCTTATTCAA